CAGTGATCTATGCATGTTCCCTCACATCCATTTGCCACGAGGGTTCAAGACCCCAAAATTTGAGAAATATGATGGACACGGCGACCCTATCGCCCACTTGAAAAGGTACTGCAACCAGCTGAGGGGTGCAGGAGGAAAAGAAGAGCTGCTGATGGCTTACTTTGGGGAAAGCCTTGTGGGGGTAGCTTCCGAATGGTTCATTGACCAAGATATCTCTCACTGGCATGTTTGGGATGACATGGCCCAGGCCTTCGTCAAACAATTTCAGTACAACATTGACATTGCGCCGGATCGTAATTCTTTGTCCAATATGAAGAAAAAGCCGACCGAAAGTTTTAGGGAGTATGCCATCAAGTGGAGGGAGCAAGCGGCTAGAGTTAAGCCACCCATGGATAACCACGAGTTGATCACTGTTTTTCTGGAGGCTCAAGAGCCTGATTACTTTCAAAACATGATGTCCGCGATGGGTAGACCTTTTGCAGAAGCAATCAAAATAGGGGAGATGGTCGAAAATGGCCTCAAGACTGGCAGAATTGTAAGTCAAGCTGCTCTCAAAGCCACCACCCAAGCTATCCAAAATGGGTCGGGAGGTTTGGCAAATAGAAAGAAGAGAGATGAAGGGTCCATGATGGCTTCGGGATCTAGGGAGTTTCAAAGAGGGGCATCGCACCCTTATGTGCAAGTTCAGCAGGGGCAATCCAGCTACCCTCAACATTATTATCCCCCGCCAATTCCTCAATACTCTATGGGCCCACCATAATATACAGTGTTCAATGCTCAATCATATGCTCGGCCTTCCAATCAGCAGGTACGGGGACCATCTCCAAGGGTCCCCCGACCTCAGCAGCAAAATTTTTAGGCACCGTACAATGCTCGTCCCAGGCAGGATTATGGTCGAGACCAGAGGTCGGCAGAAAAATTCACTCCATTGACTGAATCATATTCTAGTCTATTCCAGAAGCTAAAGCAAATGGGCGTAATTGGACCCATCGCTCCCCACCATATGCATCCCGATTCGCATGGATTTCAAGAAAATTATAGATGTGAATATCATTCCGGTGCCCCAGGGCATAGCACTGATGACTGTTGGACTCTGAAAAGAGCCATAGAGAGACTCATTTCTGAAAAACTGATTGTAGTGACGAATGGCGAGGACCCTCCTAACGTGACAAATAATCCGTTGCCAGCACACAATGATGTTCATTTTGTTGGAATGATTGGCCGAGACCAAGAATACAAGCCGGTCGGTCGAGCAGAAATGACAGTGGGTGCAATTCAAGAAGGAGCAGGTCTGGAAGTAAGTCCTAGCCGAGACGTGCCATTGATTGTTAAAGGCGCCCAGAACTCAAATAAGGCAACTTTATTTGTTCCAAAGATCTCGAGGTTGGAAGTTCACTCTAGTGTTCCAAGCCCAAGGTTATATGTACTTGGAGGCCATCCCGACAAAAGGGAGAAGCAGGGAGGTACGAAAGGTATAACAGAGCCGATCGTAATCAAACCTGCCATGCAACTCCCTGTAAACAACACAAAAACCACTCCTTGGAACTACAACAAAACGGTGATGACCTACAAAGGCAAGGAAATCATAGAGGAAGTGGGGGAAACTGGAGGTTTTACTAGGAAGATGTTATTCTCTAGAAGAGTTGAGGAAGGCCAAGCAAATTAGAGAAGGCCATTTGCCAATAAAGAAGCCGGTCACTGAAGCAGATGCGGAAGAGTTTTTGAAAAAGATGAAAGTTCAGGATTACTCAATCATTGATCAACTAAGAAAGACTCCCGCTCAAATCTCTCTACTATCTCTTCTCCTACATTCCAAAGAGCATGCCCGTGTACTAATCAAGGTCCTGAACGAGGCACATATCTCAGAGGAAACCACAGTGAATCAGTTAGAGAAGATGGCCAACAGATTTTTTGAGGTGAACAGAATCTCCTTTACTGATGATGAACTTCCCGAGGAGGGAGCCGGGCACAATAGGGCTTTGAACTTGATGGTCAAATATGAGGGTCATTATGTAAAGCGAGTCATGGTTGATGGAGGCTCAAGTGTAGATGTATGCCCTCTCTCTACCTTGCAAAGCATGAAGATCGATACAGACAGAATCCGACCCAGCAATGTTCGCATCTGGGCTTTTGATGGCAGCAAGAGATACCATTGGGGAGATCAACCTCACCATGACGATTGGGCCAGTTGACTTTGAGATTGTCTTCCAGGTAGTGGACATGGCCACTTCTTATAACTTTCTTCTTGGAAGGCCATGGATCCATACAGCCCGAGCTGTGCCATCCACCTTGCATCAGATGCTCAAATTTGAACATGACAGGCAAGAAATTATTGTTCACGGAGAAGACGAGTCTTCCATTTACAAAAAGACCCGTTAATCCCCTGTATTGAGGCCAAGGAAGGGTCTGAGTCCATTGTCTATCAGGCGTTTGAAGTGGTTGTTGTGGACCATGTCGAGGAAGGAAAGCCTATTCTGCATCCTCGTCTTTCCGCCACATCTGTAATGGTGGCTGCAGTTATGATGAGACAAGGTTATGAACCAGGAAAAGGCTTGGGGGCATCATTGCAAGGAATTTCGGAGCCTATTTCTCCGTTCGGTAACCAGGGTACTTTTGGATTAGGCTTCAGGCCAACACAAGCAGATGAAAACAAATCCAAGCACCGCAAAAAGTATGGATGGGTCTTGCAACAACCTATCCCTCACATTTTCTACACTTTTGTCAAGCCACGACTCCAAGAGGGTCAAAATTCCTCGGCGCATGCAAACATTGATGAAATTTGCCATGGCCTCAGCCAGATGTTTTCTGAAGTGAATATGATCCAGGCTGGTGAAGGCACTAGTCGTGCTGATATGCAACTAATTGACCCAGACACCATGCTCACCAACTGGGAAGCAACTCCTCTCCCCACAAGGAAAGAGTCTTGGTAGTTGCTTTTGCAGCTTCTTTTTTGTATTTTTGGGTTATTTTCAGGGTTGTAATCCAAACATCTCAGTATGATCGTTTTGTTTTGATGTTAACCCTTCTATCCTTTTGAATTCAATGAAATGCAGTTCAGTTTCATATTATGTTTTGTATCTTTTCCTTTTTTCTAATTCCTTTCATTTTATTTCCATTTCAGTTTTGTTAATGCCGGCTTTAATAACATGACATGCATGCGGAATTCACGCCCAGATCTTAAAAAGCTGTCTAATATCGAAATAATGCATCAAAAGGTTGAATATGATGAAGATGAGGTTGTTGAGGAAATAAAAAGAGAGTTGGAACAATTTGAAAACAAGCCTAAGCCAAACCTCAATGAAACTGAGCCGATTAATATCGGAAGTCCTGAAGAAGTTAGAGAAACGAAGATAAGCATTCACACCGAACAAAAAACCAGAGATGCCTTGATTCAACTTTTATTTGAATATAGAGATGTGTTTGCTTGGTCTTACGATGATATGCCGGGTTTAAGTGTTGATCTGGTGGTTCATGAGCTTCCTACGTATCCTGGTTTTCCACCAGTCCAACAAAAGCAACAAAAATTTAAAAAAGACGTGAGTGACAAAATCAAAGAGGAAATAATGAAGCAACTAAGCGCCAATGTGGTCAGAGCTGTCCGATACACTACCTGGGTGGCAAATGTTGTGCTTGTGCCAAAGAAGGATAGAAAAACCAGAGTTTGTGTCGACTATAGGGACCTGAACAAAGCAAGTCCAAAGGATAATTTTCCTTTGCCAAATATCCACATTCTTGTAGATAATTGCGCAAAACATGAGATACAATCGTTCGTGGATTGCTATGCTGGGTACCACCAAATTCTAATGGATGAGGATGATGCAGAAAAGACCACGTTCACCACGCCATGGGGTACTTATTGTTACAGGGTCATGCCATTCGGTTTAAAGAATTCGGGGGCAACCTACATAAGGGCCATGACTACTATTTTTCACGACATGATGCACAAAGAGATTGAAGTATATGTCGATGATGTTATCATAAAATCAAAGACACAAGCTGATCACGTGTGTGATTTGAAAAAGTTCTTCGAACGGCTTCGAAGGTATGACCTTAAGCTTAATCCAGCCAAGTGTGCATTTGGGGTTCCGTCTGGGAAACTCCTCGGTTTTATAGTCAGCCGGAGAGGCATCGAATTGGATCCATCTAAGATAAAGTCCATTCGAGATCTGCCACCCCCGAAGAACAAAAAGGAAGTCATGAGTTTGCTCGGGAGGCTGAACTACATCAGTAGGTTCATTGCTCAGCTCACAACCACGTGCGAGCCCATCTTTAAGTTGCTGAAAAAGGATGCCGCTATCAGGTGGACAGACGATTGCCAAAAAGCTTTTGACAGGATCAAAGATTATCTGTCAAAACCCCCTGTACTGGTCCCGCCTGAACCTGGTAGGCCTTTGTTTTTATATCTATCGGTGATGGATAATTCCTTTGGATGCGTTCTGGGGCAACATGATGCAACATGCAAAAAGGAACAGGCAATCTATTATTTGAGCAAGAAGTTCACCAATTATGAGGTTAAGTACACCCTTTTAGAAAGAACATGTTGTGCCTTGACTTGGGTCGCTCAGAAGCTGAGACATTATCTTTTGGCCTACACTACTCACCTCATATCCAGAATGGATCCTTTGAAGTACATCTTCCAAAAGCCAATGCCCACTGGCAGGCTCGCAAAATGGCAAATCTTGCTCACAGAGTTTGACATCGTCTATGTCACTCGCACCGCGATGAAAGCACAGGCTTTGGCAGATCATTTGGCAGAGAATCCAGTTGATAATGAGTACATGCCACTTAGCACATACTTCCCAGACGAAGAGGTCAACTCAATAGGAGAAGTGGTTCCAGACGATCACCCTGTATGGAAAATGTATTTTGATGGAGCTGTCAATATCAAAGGAGTTGGGATCGGGGCAATCCTCATCTCACCTATTGGACATCATTACCCTGCAACGGCCCGACTTCGATTCTTCTGTACCAATAATACGGCAGAATACGAAGCTTGTATCATGGGTTTGAAAATGGCCATCGATCTGGATGTGCATGAACTATTGGTTATGGGAGATTCTGACTTGCTTATCCGGCAAGCTCAAGGCGAATGGGAGACTCGAGACATCAAGCTTATTCCGTACAGACAATGCGTGCAAGACTTGAGCAAAAGATTCAAATCCATCGAGTTCAGGTACATTCCTAGGTTTCACAACGAGCTAGCCGATGCCTTGGCTACTTTAGCCTCGATGATCCCTTATCCAGGCAACGCTCATATTGATCCGCTAGAAATCCAAGTTCGAAATCAACACGGTTACTGCAATACAATTGAGACAGAACCAGATGGTAAACCATGGTATCATGACATAAAACGATTCCTGAAAATGAGAGAATATCCAGAGCATGCCAAAGGAGATCAAAAAAGAACTTTAAGGCGGCTCGCCAGTGGTTTCTTCCTGAATGGGGAAATTCTGTACAAAAGGACCCCAGATTTAAACTTGTTGAGATGCATAGATGCTACAGAAGCAGAGCAGATCATGGGTGAAGTGCATTCGGGGGTGTGCGGACCTCACATGAATGGATATGTTTTGGCGAAGAAGATTCTGCGGGCGGGGTATTATTGGCTTACTATGGAGCGAGATTGCTTCAGTTTTGTTCGCAAGTGTCACCAATGCCAGATTCATGGTGATTTGATTCACTCGCCTCCTTCAGAATTGCATCCCATGTCCTCTCCTTGGCCTTTTGTTGGTTGGGGAATGGATGTTATTGGTCCAATCGAGCCAAAGGCTTCAAATGGGCATAGATTCATTTTGGTTGCAATTGATTACTTCACCAAGTGGGTGGAGGCCGTCACTTTCAAAGCAGTCACCAAGAAAGCAGTGGTAGACTTTGTTCATTCCAACATCATCTGTCGCTTTGGTATCTAAATAGTCATTTGATGAAGGAGGTATGCGAACAATTTAAAATCATGCATCGTCATTCTACCCCTTACCGGCCAAAAGCCAATGGAGCCGTTGAAGCGGCAAACAAGAACATCAAGAAGATTCTTAGGAAAATGATCCAAGGTTCCAGGCAATGGCATGAAAAGCTGCCTTTTGCTCTTTTGGGATACCGAACGACTGTTCGCACATCTGTTGGTGCAACTCCGTATCTGCTTGTATATGGAACTGAAGCTGTAATACCCGCTGAAGTCGAAATTCCCTCTCTCCGAATTATTGTGGAATCAGAGATTGAAGACACTAAGTGGGTCAAGACCCGATTAGAACAACTGATGTTGATCGATGAAAAATGGCTAGCAGTAGTGTGTTTCGGCCAATTATATCAGCAAAGAATGGCACGCGCTTACAATAAGAAAGTGCGCCCAAGGCGATTTGAGGTAGGCCAACTGGTTTTGAAACGCATCCTTCCGCACCAGGTAGAAACTAAAGGAAAGTTCGCCCCGAACTGGCAAGGACCTTACATCATCAATAAAGTGTTACCAAAAGGGGCCTTGCACTTGGTAGATGAAGAAGGACGGGTACCAGACATGACTACAGATGCAATCAAAAGATTATGTCTGATATATACCCACAGTAGAATTTTCACGCATTTATTTTCTCAAATCGAAGTGACGAAGGCTATCATTTGCTAGCTATTCCAAATAGGTGTCACCCTTTTGTTAATCCTTTTTGGGCAGTATTTGTCTTCCTTGTTTCTCACTTTTTAGAACATGTGTACTTGTAAAAAAGCCAAAACAACAAATCTCTGAGTCATTGAACTACGTCCGACCTGATTCCGAAAGGATACGTAGGCAGCCTTACCCTGGGTTCGGTCCCATCAGAACAAAAAATCCATAATCCCAATACTCCAAAACTGGGGCAGAAGTTTGTTTTATTTCACGGTTTTTCTGTAAAACGGTTCCAAAAGTTGTAATTCAGTTCAAGGTTCATTTCGCCTTTTTACCTTTCAAGAACTTCTGATCGATGTTTTTTTTTGAGAATGTTTGAAGTCCCCATGCCAAAGGTGTTGGTTAACCTCCCTCCTGCAGTATCTTATTCAAAAAAAAAAAGGAGAAAAAGAAATGAGAGAGTCTTATTAGTGAAAACCCGTACGGGCACTATAAGGCGACAGTGAGCAGAGAAATGAGAGAGTCTTATTGGTGAAAACCCATATGGGCACCATAAGGCGACGGTTAGTAGAGAAATGAGAGAGGTTAGTTAGCGAAAACCTACAAAAGGCGCTACTAGCCGAATGAGGGTCTTTGATTCTCCGGCATGAGCACAACCAAGACAAATTCAAGATGAACGTTTGCGGCGGATTTTGAGAATTAGACAGCTTAGACGGATCAGGAGTCCAGTCCAAAATGCATGTCATGATTCATTGAAGTCGGCACATACCTCCAGATAAGTCTCCCTATTCCTTTCCTCGAAAGGGACATCTTCTGTTTAAACACTGTTCTTTTTCACTTTCAATTATTATTCCGTTTTTACCATAATTTTTCTTTGAGTCCCTTTCGGTCTAATCCTGCATCAAAAGCAAAACAAAGAAATGGCTGCGAAACTAGCTACAATTCCCCCGTAATATCGAGCACAATTTGGGGCATATATGGCATTGGCGAAGGCACGAATCCATCTGAGATCTCATTTGATAAAGCAAACAAAGTGTTTTAAAGAAACTAAAAAGTCGCATGAGCAGGACCTGCTTCATGAGAAAGTTGATAAGCACTACGGACACAAACTGATACTGGGTGCAAGACAACTGAGTTTGATTTTAAAGAAAAAAATGCATTGCCTTAGAGACAAGGGTAGTGGTACCATGGACATCTGGGTATGAAACAGTTGGGGGAAATAATGTAAATCCAAGGTCTCTAGAAAATGATACAGAGCAGCCGAGCATCTCGGTACCATGCTGACAGAATCGGTTCTTCGACAGCAGTGGCCGTGAATCAAACTACTCAAGGAATCAAGGGATCAAGGCCACAAACCAACCACCACTTTGAAAACTCATAAATCTTTCTTTGTTTGAAGCAGGAACAAAGGGGTGCAGAATGGAAATTCTAACAGATGAACGTCACCAAACGTAAGCTTCTTAAAATCTCCATTTTTTCTCTTTTCAGCATGCATCACTATTGTTCACACCTCCCATTTTCGTAGCTTAACTCAGGTAGAATCTTTTCGCCTAGGGGATCCAGCTCATAGTTCCGAGTAGAAGTACTCTTCGCTCAGGGTGTTTTACACAGCTTAACCCAGGTAGAATCCTTTCGCCTAGGGGGATCCAGCTCATAGTTCCGAGTAAAAGTACTCTTTGCTCAGGTTGTTTCACACATCTTAACTCAGGTAGAATCTTTTCGCCTAGGGGAATCCAACTCATAGTTCCGAGTAGAAGTACTCTTCGCTCAGGGTGTTTTACACAGCTTAACTCAGGTAGAATCCTTTCGCCTAGGGGGATCCAACTCATAGTTCCTAGTAGAAGTACTCTTCACTCAGGGTGTTTTACACAGCTTAACTCAGGTAGAATCCTTTTGCCTAGGGGGATCGAGCTCGTAGTTCCGAGTAGAAGTACTCTTCACTCAGGGTGTTTTACACAGCTTAACCCAGGTAGAATCATTTCGCCTAGGGGGATCCAGCTCATAGTTTCGAGTAGAAGTACTCTTCGCTCAGGGTGTTTTACACAGCTTAACTCAGGTAGAATCCTTTCGCCTAGGGGGATCCAGCTCATAGTTCCGAGTAGAAGTACTCTTCACTCAGGGTGTTTTACACAGCTTAACTCAGGTAGAATCCTTTCGCCTTAGGGGATCGAGCTCGTAGTTCCGAGTAGAAGTACTCCTCACTCAGGGTGTTTTACACAGCTTAACTCAGGCAGAATCCTTTCGCCTAGGGGGATCGAGCTCATAGTTCCGAGTAGAAGTACTCTTCACTCAGGGTGTTTTACACAGCTTAACTCAGGTAGAATCCTTTCGCCTAGGGGGATCAAGCTCATAGTTCCGAGTAGAAGTACTCTTCACTCAGGGTGTTTTACACAGCTTAACTCAGGTAGAATCCTTTCGCCTAGGGGGATCGAGCTCATAGTTCCGAGTAGAAGTACTCTTCACTCAGGGTGTTTTACACAGCTTAACTCAGGTAGAATCATTTCGCCTAGGGGGATCCAGCTCATAGTTCCGAGTAGAAGTACTTTTCGCTCAGGGTGTTTTACACAGCTTAACTCAGGTAGAATCCTTTCTACTAGGGGGATCCAGCTCATAGTTCCGAGTAGAAGTACTCTTCGCTCAGGGTGTTTTATGTAGCTTAACTCAGGTAGAATCGTTTCGCCTAGGGGATTCAACACTTTATCAGTAATACAAGGATACCAACCCATAATTACATTCCTTCCTAGTGGTACAAGGCTCCTACCCCTGGCTACGTTTCCTTTCAGTAATATAGGATACTGTGCTATAATTCCACTGCCTTTGGTAACACAGGGTGCTACCCTGTGGTTGCGTATCCTCACATAGCTAGTTTATATTACTGTCTTTTCCTTATTTCAATAAATTAAATAGTTTGTAGCTTTCTCTAATAACTCACAAAATTTTCCTAGTGCCAGACTGGGCAGCAAATTTTTGTTCGTTTTGTTCGTCTTTGATGGCTTCGCAGGCTCTGCCGCACAGCCCAAGTGACGATTAAAGCTTGCAGTTTCAGTTTCTCATCAGAAGAAAGAAGTCCTTCGATCACAAGATAGTCGGAGTTAGCCTTGATAATGTGTCGGCAACGCAACTTCTCAAGTTTCATTTTCTCAAAATTCTAATCCAGAAAGCAAGCAACCGAGATTGAGTCATAATCTCTTCTCTAAAGAGAATCAAGATCCAGTCTAAGGTCAACACAAGAGAGCAAGTCAAGAATCAATATTTGACTCCAGAAGACACGTAGATAGGAATTTTGTACTCTTAGTTTGCAGACATATGTAGTGCTCTTCTCTTTTTCTTTTGAATTAAGAAGCAGTAACAGTAAGAGTAACAGCAACAACAGCAGTCTTAACTCCAGTGTCTGGTAGTCCCAGCTACCAAATTTTTCCAGAACTACACTGACCTGATTCCTTTATAGCCAAGGATATGTAGGCAACCTCAGAAGCAAGGTTCGGTCACTATTTTTCAAAATTTGCTTCCCTTGGATTGATATATGATCAAAAATTAGCAATGACATTCATTTGTCTTTGCACGAAAACTCATCATGTTCTCGAGCAAAGAGGGGCAGCTGTAAATGCCTAATTTTTGCCCCATCTTTTTCTTCTATATATATATATATATATATATATGTGTGTGTGTGTGTGTGTGTGTGTGTGTGTGTGTGTTTTTTCTTATTTTTGTATGTATAAGTTTTAAGAGTTGATTAATGGTTTGATAAATGGGGTAGGGATTGGACTAGTGTATTTTAATTAAAATTGAGCCAAAATTGGCCCAAAATTTGAGCCCATTTCGTCCAAATCCGGTCCACAAGGGGCGGCCAAGGGGAGGGTCCAAACGACGTAGTTTTGGATCAAAACTACGTCGTTTCATTTAGTAATCTGAAGATTGGATCTCCTCCATTCAATTTCGCTTGATCCAACGGCCCTGATTAATCTCCCACTCGGGTATTTAAACCCTTAA